AATTTAGGGAGTTATAAGTTGAAAATAAAGGACACTTTTATACTTTTTGTAAGAAATTAAAACACCAAATTTTGCAGGTGATAATTTTAACATTCAGTCATATATGTGCCTGGAATACATGATTAAGATGACTCAGATGGTTGATTCTGTTTTAAACAACTTGTGAGATGGGAAGGACAGACAGTAAATATCCAACAGAGTTTTTTGTACACACACACACACACACACATACCCGTTAAAACGTGGGCAGGGGTGTACAACACACCACATACATGCACACACATTAGAACGTGGGCAAAGTCTATATTGACTTCTGAGTCATGTTCCAAAAACATGATGAGTGAGGCACAGAATGTCTGTATCCTTTCTTTTTCAAACCAAAACAGTCTTTTTTACGAGACAAAGGACATAGAGATTACTGTCCCCTCTGGTCATCCTTACCTTTATTCCATACCTTTGTCAAGAAAAGCCTGCTAGTCGCTGATTGGCTGTCTGTATTCTTGGGATTTATCTACATTCTGGAGCATCCTTCAGTAGTCATTAGCCAGGTGACTCATGCGTTTGCCAGATGATAGAAGGAACCAGGTTCTACAGCTGTTACACGCTGTCAGTTCTTCAAGGAAGGATTCCTTTATGGATTTGGTAGTTTCCAGAAGATGCCCTCGTCTCAGAAGAAACACAGAATGAACAGATAGATGACTTACATACTGCAGTCTTTAAACAAATTGCAATTGAAGTCAACACAAGTTGATTGGCAACTTACCACTTAGAGACATAAAATTTGTCCTGTCTTCAGGATTCAGTAGAAAAGTCATTGTATAAATTAACAATGCTAATGTTCATGGTAAGCTTAATAATTGGAAAATATGTAATATGCAGGAGCAGGAAATGGCTTAGGTGACCATTCCTGTGCAGTGCGGTGAATTTTATTAGGCATTTTATAAGCTCTAGAAGAGGAAGATTCTTAAAGGTAGAGGATGTACAGAATTGTCAAGGGCTCTCAGGAGCACTCATTTCTTGTAACTGTGCTATTAATCTGGAGGGCTGGTGGTCACTGATAAATACGAGGCAGCTATGTATTTAGGGCTCAGAGACCTAAAGCCTTTGTTTTCCTAAAGAGTGTTGCCTTTATTGTCTATACTGGAAAACTAAACTTGGGCTTCAAGTGTAGGGGGACCATGGTCTGTGTTTCTAGAAGTGTCACTCAGAGGCATACTGAGTGAATGTAAGGCTGGTTACATAGTAGTACATAGAAGTAGATTCCCAGATAAAGGCTGACTGATGGTGTAATAGGATATATGGCCAGAGAAAGTAGCGAGAGTGTTTTCTCCTTTTCTTTGTGACCCTTAAGTGAGTAAGGCATGGAAACTGAAATGGCACATTGCAAGATTCATCAGAGGTAGACCACAGAGGACTTACAAGGTTGCCAGACAAGGGTTCTGTTAAAGAACTTTCAGATGATTCTAGATTGGGCCGGAAAGGAAATGACATCAGGAACTGTATAAAGGAAAGACAGTGAGGAAGTGGTCAGAGGTCTTCATAACCAAGAACAGGTGTGTGAATGAGAAGTGAGCTAGGAGGACCAGCACTTGGAGTCCGAAAATGGGATTATGGCTTCTGATTTTAGGTGGCAGTGTCAAATGGTGCTTTATTAATAAAAGGAAGTAAAGTTACTTAAATTTAGGGAGTTATAAGTTGAAAATAAAGGACGCTTTTATACTTTTTGGACTCACTTTATCAGTATCTCTAGCCTAGAATCTACAGTGGGAGAGTTCCCCAAAATGCATACTTCTAAGAAACTCTGCACTTGTTTCCAATGAATATATATTGGAGCAAGATTTAAGGAAATCTGGGAAGCTAGCTGTCATTCTCAAGGATCCACACTTAACGAGGTTTGTGGTGCAGCCAGGAGCTAGCATGAAGAGGATGCTGTGTGGTGATGTGAAGTCGGCACAGCCAGTGACACACATCTCAGAACCTGTGGTTGTGGCAGGATGTTTACCACTGACCTGCAGATGGGAGCCGAAAACATCATGAGAAAATGGACAGTGTCTGCTTTGTGTAGGCTGTGAGAGGGAAGTGCAGTGAGAATCCTGCAATACTTCTGAACTTTTTGGCACCATTCAGGCCAATGAAAAAGCTGATACAGAGTAAAATAGTGGCTTCTATGTTATCTAAAGCTGGAGCAAAATGAAGCATATTTCTCAGAAACGCTGTTTAGCCAATTACTTAGAAAATTCTTAAGCTTTGAAACCAATTCTTTGTTCTCTTAAGCATTTGCCAGGGAAAGCTGGCTTCTAATTAGAGGTCACCGGTGCTACATTTACCTTTAGCTAAAAGATTCTTAGATAGGTTATCTAGATAGCTGCCAACTGTGAGAGGCTTACAGAACAGAACGACAGGATCCAAGTCTTTTCTCTCTTAGCTTTACCTACTGTGCAGCTGTTCATTTCTTCAGTCATCATGTGCATGGTTTTAAGGAAGCTTTTCATGAAATGATGTGCCCTACAAGGGGGCATTAGAAACACAGGAAGGAATACTTTATGAGAAAAACTGGTGGTGTTTGTGGATTCCCTGTACAGGATGTAGCTTGAGAGAAAGTGGGCATAAAGGCTGTAAAATTGGATGTGTTTGTGCATATAAAGCAGACCCCTTTAATGTGCAGGAAGGTATCGATGCTGACTCAGTCTGTATTGTGGATGGCCAATTGACATTTTGTTGCCATTTTGACTTGTTCATACAGAACTTGCTTATTTTACTTAAAATATTTATTTTAATAGAATGTAAAAATTATGACATACTTTACTCTTTAACCATTTTCAAAAGTACAACTCTATAGATAATCTTATTTACATGTTGTAGAGCCATCATCCTTACTATATATTTTTAGAAAGATTCCATATTTCAGACAGAAAATAATGACCTTTTGAGGCAGCAGCTCACTATTATCTCTTCCTTCTGGTCATTGATAACCCTTCAGTTGGTCTCTGTGAAGTTCCCTATTCATTGAGGACTATAGATAGTATTTCTCTCTTTGTGTCTAGTTTGTTTTGTTTTCAAGGTGCAGCCATATTGGATAAACTTCATTCTTCTTTTGTTTCCACTGTTAAATGCTATGTTTCCTTTATCCATTCATCTGCAAAGAGACACGTTGTGTCCACTTTTTCACTTAAAATTCTATGATGAACTTTAGTATACAAATCTCTGTGAATCCTAGTTTTCTTTTAGTATGGATCTGCCTGTGGCATTGCTAGGGTGTTATAATTATCAAACATCCGCAGGGGTGACATCATCAAAGGTTAACTTTCTGCATGCTCACCTATATGTATTTATTTCCGCTGTCCCTGTAGACACATGGGACATGGCTGTGGGTCTGACTTACATTCAACTAACAACTGCCTGTACTAAGCACTTCCCATGTGCTCACTGGTCCTTTTCTCCCCCAAAAAGTGATTTCTCATACCTGGTGCTTATTTATTTTTGTTGTTGAGCTGTATTTTTTAAGTAGTCTGATAATTCTCAATTTTCAAAATGGTCTTTTATAAGTTATCCATTTTTTTTTTCTGATAAGGTCTAATTTCTGTTTTCCTTTTGGTTCCCTGTGCTATTGGTGTTGTGTGTTCCAGTGCTTGAAGAGTTTCCCTTTTATTGACTTCTAAGATTTTGAGGATTTGCTTATGGTGTTGTGTGAAGTGTGACTTGACTTGGTGGTGTAAACTGGTAGTCCCAATATTTTTTGAGGAAATACTCTTTCCCCATTGAATGGGTTTGATATACTTTCTCAAAGATCATGTGGCTATATGTTTATTAGTGAAAAGATTTATTTACATATTTAATGTTTTTATATGTCTCTGTTATGTAAGTTTATGTGTATCACATACATGTAACAGCCAGTGGAGGCCAGAAGAGGGTAGCAGATTTCCTTAAACTGACATTATAGGTGGTTGTGTGTGATCTGCTATGTGGGTACTGAGATCCCAAACCTGGGTCCTCTGCAAGGGCAGTAAACTGCTGAGCCATCTCTCCAAGTCCATTTCTGGACTCTTAATTTTATTGATACATTTCTCTATGTATAATGCCTTAAAATCTAATGTCCAGATTTGTAGTAAGTTGTGACATTTGGAGGTGGCAGTTGTTGAACTTCTTTCTTATTTTCAAGATTTCTTTTGGCTAATTTCATGTGAATTTAATGACTAGCTTTTCTATTTATGCAAAAGGCTGTTAAGATTTTAATAGGAACTATTTTGAATCTGTAGATCCCTAATGAAAATTATTTGTCTTCTCACATTTACCACTTTATGAACACTGGTTCCCTTTTTACTTATTCAACCCTATTTTATTTACTTCAGTACTATTCTATCATTTTCAAACAAGTCTTAAGTCAATCTAAAACCAATTTACTGCTTTAGAGGTTGTTAGAAGTGGCTATTTTTTTTTTTGATTTTCATTTTGTTGGAAGTTATGTAGCAATACACTACTGGAGTTTTGGTGTGTGTGTGTGTGTGTGTGTGTGTGTGTGTCTAAGTCTAACTTACAACTTGACACCTACAATTTTGCTGGGCTTAGTTATTTAACTTCTTAGGATTCCATGTAGAGAAAATACTGAAGTTTCACTCTTAGTATGAGTGAAGAATGTACATTTAAAAAACTTATTCTCTGTTCATTTGTATGCCTATATCTTTCTTCAGTCTAATTTTTCTGCTAGAGCTTCCAGTCGTAAAAGACCACTATATTTTGTTAAAGGATCATATTTAATTGACTAATCCTACTGATCTTAATTTGTAGAGTGATTTTTGTTGTTGTTTTTCTTTTTTGGTTTTTTGAAGCAGGGTTTCTCTGTAGCTTTGGAGCATGTCCTGAAACTAGCTCTTGTAGACCAGGCTGGCCTTGAACTCTTAGAGATCCATCTGCCTCTGTCTCCCAAGTGCTGGGATTAAAGGCATGTGCCATCACCACCCAGCTGTAGAGTGATTGTTATTGATACAGTTTTTCTTTTGCAGTACAGAGAATAAACCAGCAGTGGAAGAGAAAACCCTACAGGTTGGCTGACAACTGGTAAAGAAGATGTTCTGTTTTTGTGACAGGTGCCTGTGGGATCTGTGATAGAAATGTAAGTAGAGCAACTAGAGTGCCATGGCTTTCCCAAAGCTCATGGAGCCAGGAGAGTAATGCAGAGACCCATACTTGTGTTTGATTTTACTTAAGCAAAATGAAATTTTTATTGACTCACCAGTGCTTTATAGAGTTAGCAGTCCTGCTCAAGCTAAATGATTACAGTCATAGTTTCGTAGAGTTTTCACATAGGGAAAATATGATGAGTAAAGGTGAGAACCTTTACTTTGCATAGTGATTTACTTGAGAAAGATCTCTGGATTTTAGAACTAGTTACTAAAAGTTCTTGTGACATATAAGGACTTTTTATACTATACTTGATTTAAAAGTTAGTACATCTTATTTTATTCATATCAGTTCACTCTAATTTATATTTTTATTAGTTGTGTTTTCCTGTCATTTTGGCTTTGTCTAATATGCCATCATGTGTTTGATAATCTTGAATCTACTTATATTAAATTTCATTATATTTTGACAAAACATAGTTCTAGATCATAGAAAATGAAAACCTTGTGGACTTTTAGTCTTGATAATTACAGTGTTCAAATTCCTGGACCAGAAGAACTCTTGCAGATACTAGTTCACATTTTTCAAGTTTTGACACAGAAGTTAGTTTGTTATCTCCTTTTTCAGTATGATAACACTAGCTAATTCCCATCTTTAGGCAAGTTTAAGAAGTGTTAACATAAAAAAAATGGTATGACTAATATTTTAATGGTTTAAGTACAAAGTCTGTATCAATGATTTTAACATTCTATACTTAGGAACTTCTATTGGATTATGTAAACAATAGGAAACTATTAAAGGTTGAGAGATGACTAATACAAATGACTGGGAGGAGGAAGAGCTAGGCAGAGAGAAGACTGAAGCCTATTGAAAGGTTAGTATTTTGTGTGATGGATATTGAGGTCTGGAATTAAGTTTACAGGATTTGGAGCGAAGACGCATACTCTACAGGAGTTGTGGCCAGGGGTTAGGTGAGCACCAAGAATGGTAATTTATCCAAGGTGGACAAATACAGGATTTAGAGGCAGATACGTTTGTTCTTGGTTGTGTTTATTTCAGATGTCTAGCGTGTTGATGTGGAATTTTGGAAGACAGAATCAGAAATACAGGCTTGAGATGGAGTGTTTCCAGACAGAAGGTGTGAGGAGTCACATAGATCCATTCATGTGAGATACTCAGAATACCAACTAAGCATATAATGTGTGCAACAAGGAGTACCTGTAGGGTCTTGAGGGAGTACTGGTATTGAAGAGGTACTAGAGAAAAGGGAAACAAACAAGAGATGAATTGAGAATGCTGAAACTCCAAATGGAAAACATAAGGATTGTGAAAAAGAATAGGTGAAAGGAGGTCATTAAATTAAGTTTGAGATGCTAGGCAGAGTTTTAGGGAGTTAGATCATGGTCTCAATTACAAAAATTAAGGGATTAGTTTTGCATACACATGGCAGAATCCCATCCTGAACCAGGAGAAAGACAGTAAGGCAGAATACAAGTACATCTGTGTTTTGCTGATGATTCTTTGGCTTGTATAAGTGATCATTGATAACAGGAGTCATTGTTTCATAACTGAGAGGGTTGAAGAAGTTTTATAACCCTCTTTGGAGCAATAGGAAATAAAGATGTCTTGGCTGAGTTACTGGGAGCAAGCTTGGTGATCTCTGGCAGCAGAGCAGCAGGCTAGTGTGTGGAATTGCAGTTTCTGCTTTAACTTGGTAGACATCTCTCCTCCTGCCTTTTGTGGGGGTGTTTCCAGATTCCTTTCTTCCTTTATCATTCTTTAAATCTCTTACAAGCTACTTATACTGTGTAAATTTTGGGTAGCTGAAGGTTTGTGCCTGGTTTTCCTGCTCTTACTACAAATTCGCTCATCCACCCATTTTCATGGCTTTAAGAACTATGTATTATGTTGATGACTCATAACTGGATTATTATATATATGGACAAGTTTTATAGAGATCCTTAGCCTTTGAAATAAGATTTCATCACATACTTAATAAGATTAAGATTGTGACCTAAAATCTATTTAAAAGCCATTAGCGGCTGAGCGGTGGTGGCACACACCTTTAATCCTAGCACTCGGGAGGCAGAGGCAGGCAGATCTCTGTGAGTTCGAAGCCAGCCTGGTCTAGAAGAGCTAGTTCCAGGACAGGAACCAAAAAAAGCTAAAGAGAAACCCTGTCTCGAAAATCAAAAAAAAAAAAAAATCCATTAGCATTGAGAGTGAATGTCTGAATTCTTGTGTCTCCTCCCTACAGGTGACTGTCTCCTCCTTTGTGCTCCCTGGCATCTGTTGTGCTCAGCTCATAAAGTGTGTGTTGTACAAATGTAAGGACTATCTATAGTTCAGATCCCTGGCACCCACACAAATGCAAGGTGGGCAAGACAGTTTGCAGTTTCAGCACTAAGAAGGCAGAGACAGCATCCCCAGAGCAAGCTGGCTAGCCAGACAGCCATGGTGGTGAGCTGCGGTTTTATTGAGAGACACTGCCTCATCGGAAAAGGTAGAGAGCAATTGAGAAAGACTTCAGAAGTCAACCTTGGGTATCCAGGTACACAGGACTACATGTATGAGCCCACCTGTGCCCACAAGTGGGGAAAAGGAATTTCATTAGAATTTATTTCTTTGACTTAAATTCTAAGGCATAAAGGACTTTGAGACCCTAACAAAAAGTGTACATAATCAGTTCATTTGGGTGGGGCAAGGAGACCTAGATGATGCTGATATCAGAGGGGTTAACAGGCATGTCCTTATACATACTTGTAAATTCTGTTGTTTCAGGTTAGATCTCTGAAAGCATGACAAAATTGACACTCTTATAGTGAGAAACATGTTAAATTGTATTTGCCTGATTTATTTATTTCTTTTATTTTTTTTTTCTTTTCTTTTTTTTTTTTTTCAAGACAGGGTTTCTCTGTGGCTTTGGAGCCTGTCCTGGAACTAGCTCTTGTAGACCAGGCTGGTGTCAAACTCACAGACATCCGCCTGCCTCTGCCTCCCGAGTGCTGGGATTAAAGGCGTGCGCCACCACTGCCCGACTGCCTGATTTATTTTGAATGAGTTATAAGTTATACTTTTCTTATTTCTATAATATAAAGCTTCTGATAGAGGGACTTAATTTGTAATGTTGAAAAATAATGTATACGTTAAGCATTCTATGATTATTTTCCATAGATACTCTGTTGTGCCCTTTCCTGTAAATGCAATCTAATATACAAATTAGTATCACTTTGAACATATGTCTTGAAAAACTAGAGACTAGAGATACAGGAAAAGTCAGAAGAATAGGGTATAAGATTGAATGGGCTCTGATAAAAGCCAAAGGATATTCTTTCTCAGTTTTTAAAATGTAAACACTTACCGGCTATCCAGTTTATAGCCACTGGACCTAGTTTGAAGTGTTCTTAGACAAACAGCCAAAGTCCTCACGAGTAGTTGAGTTTGAAATGGTCTGTGTACAGCATGGTCAAATTAACTGATAAAGAGGCTGTCACTCATTTAAATAGCACTTGATCCAAAATTTCTAATCTCTGGGACCTGTTACCTCCACTCTCTGTTTTTTCCCTTCTTTAGTCAGCTGTTTTCTTCCTTTTTATCTGTGGTTTCCTGTCTGGAAATTCATGGAATAACAGTTAAATCATGTTTCTTTAGCATAGTAAAATAAGGCTTTGATGATTTATTTACTGGCTGACCTTTCAACCTTTTTTTGATTTTTATCTGAACTTTGTAATTTTCAGGTAATGAAATTTAAGCTACCGGTTTATCTGGATGACTAAAAACATGTATTAATAAAGGAAACTGAAACTTGATTATCAGATTTCTTGTTTAATATTGGTTTCACTGTGTCTTATTCATGTTACACTTTCTCCGTGGGTGCTTTCAGTGTTCCATTATTTGGCTTTTTGTTGTGCTTTCTCAGCACTAAATATAAGTACGCTGACAGAACGTTTCCATACTGACAGGGTATTTGTGTGTATATTGTATTGAAAAAGTTTTGAACTAGATATTTGAGCTTAATTAAAAAATGAAACTTAAATATGTTTTATACTATGATACATTCATAGCTTTGCTTTTTAAAAATGTGTTTTGTTTTCGCAAATATCCTCAATGTCCTGTATGGGAATGCATCAGTCACACTGGAGGTAGTACACAGGGTGGCTAAATCCTAGTTAGAGGAATTTTGATAAATGCAGATAGTGTGAGAAGTGGCAGCCAGACTCTTTAAGGACCCTAGAGATTTGGAATTATACTAAAATTAACCTTTTAAGAAAGAGTGTGACTAAATTAAAAGGCATATACAGTGATTTAATAATCAATGTTTGGTGACTAGAAAAGGTAGGATGGGTAGTGGTACACAGATTTGGTAGATAGAGATATTAATGATTTATGGATATTTTGGATGCAGTAAGGCAAAAAAGTACAGGTTAGGAGCTACATTTCTGACTTGTATAAACATCTAGGCCATACCTAATTTTTCTTTAAAAACAAGGCTGCAGATTGTTGTTGTCTGGAGTTAGAGTTTGAATGACACAGCTGATTCTCTGCTTCTCTTCATCTTGACTCTGAGGTCATTTGGAGTAGATTTCATTTTTTTTTTAAATGTTTGCATTTAGTTCTCACAAATTCTGTGGCTGGATAGACAGTATTTAAAATAGACTATGTGTGCCTTGCTTTATTTTTGCTTCCTTGCTTAATAGCTACACTTTCCATTGATTCCTACAAGTAAAAACTGAGAGGTACAACTACAGATGAAGAAGGGTTGTTTCATAAATTAAGAGTTTTCCCTGATTTCTTTTACTTTCTCTTCCATCCTGTTTGAGATAAGGCATTATGAAGCCTGGGCTGGCTTTGAATTTGCTGGTTCTTTCAAATTCATGTTTCTTGTATAGCATATGATTTGCATGGAATAGATACTTACTAGGTATTTTCTGAACTAGTGAATTAAAGTATTAGAGAAATTTAAACCTGATTTCACTTTATTTTCTTCTCATTTCCCTAGGATGGCTGGCTGTGGTGAAATTGATCACTCAATAAATATGCTTCCTACAAATAAGAAGGCGAGCGAGTCCTGTTCTAATGCTGCACCTTCTCTAACAGTTCCTGAGTGTGCCATTTGTCTGCAAACGTGTGTTCATCCAGTCAGTCTGCCCTGTAAGCATGTTTTCTGTTATCTATGTGTAAAGGGCGCTTCATGGCTTGGGAAGCGATGTGCTCTTTGTCGACAAGAGATTCCTGAGGATTTTCTTGACAAACCAACTTTGTTGTCACCAGAAGAACTTAAAGCTGCAAGTAGAGGAAATGGTGAATATGCTTGGTATTATGAAGGAAGAAACGGGTGGTGGCAGTATGATGAGCGCACTAGTCGGGAGCTGGAAGATGCTTTTTCCAAAGGGAAAAAGAACACGGAAATGTTAATTGCTGGGTTTCTGTATGTGGCCGATCTTGAAAACATGGTTCAGTATAGGAGAAATGAACATGGACGTCGCAGGAAGATTAAGCGAGATATAATAGATATACCAAAGAAGGGAGTAGCTGGACTTAGGCTGGACTGTGACACTAATACTGTAAGTCTAGCAAGAGAGAGCTCTGCCGATGGCGCGGACAGTGTATCAGCACAGACTGGAGCTTCTGTTCAGCTTCCAGTGCCGTCTTCCTCCAGGCCCCTAACTTCAGTTGATGGTCAGCTAACCAGCCCTGTAACACCATCCCCGGATGCAGGCACTTCTCTGGAAGACTCTTTTGCTCATTTACAACTCAGTGGAGACAGCATAGCTGAAAGGAGTCATAGAGGTGAAGGAGAAGAAGACCGGGAATCACCATCTTCTGGCAGAGTGCCAGACACTTCTGTTGAAGAAACTGAATCTGACGCCAGTAGTGACAGTGAGGACGCCCCTGTGGTGGCTGCACAGCACTCCTTGACCCAGCAGAGACTTTTGGTCTCAAATGTAAACCAGACAGTAGCTGACCGATCAGACCGATTAGGGACTGACCGATCAGTAGCAGGGGGTGGAACCATGAGTGTCAATGTCAGATCAAGAAGACCAGATGGACAGTGCACAGTGACAGAGGTTTAAACAAACGTCTTCAGTGCCACACTCAAAGGTGAAATGGATACCTGTAAATTTCTGCCCACATAACATTATACTCATCCTTAGTAGTGCATTGTGGGAGTTGGGGGGTAAGGGATATGGGAAGGACATACCTGAAATTAAAATGTCTAACATGTCTCTGTTGAAATTTATTTAATGTGAGGAATTGGGGTGTTAACATTTGAGAGCTGTTCAGTAATAACACAGTTTTCTTGACATCTGTTTATAGTGTATTTTTTTTTAAGTCTTTAGTTCTTTTGGCCAGTGTGTATCTGTGCATTCATGGCCATCATCTGACTCTTGCACTACCTTATTTTTCTGCATGGATTGGTATAAAATCATTACTAAAATTTGGCACCTGTGAGATATTTGATATCGTTGAGCAGGAAGTTTAATGTGGAAAATAGATGTGAATTCGGGATTTAAAAATAGATGACTAACAACTACTTTTAGTTGGTCTTACTGAGATAGGAAGGTAAGCAGCAGCTAATAGGTTGTCTCACAACCTGTAACACACTTCGTGGCGTTCCTTTCCATAGGGTTTGCTGTCTTGTCCTTGTACCTTGAGGTTTCTTAGTCTGCATTTTCCTTTTTGATTAAAAAAACTTTATAATTTAATAAATACTAGAATTTATCAAAAATAATGTTTCTTCTTTTGAGTGTGGAAAAGGGATGGGGGTACTTTGGTATTTGTGGCTAAAGAGCTTTTAAAAGGTGGGGTTTGAATTGATTGAATGCTGCTCAAATTGTCCCTACTCAGAAGTCTGATGTCTTCCTAAGAGAATGTGTACAGAGAAGGTATCTATGGCATTGTGTTTGGAATAAACAGATGATGTGGAAAAAGACCCAAAGGCTATGAGATTAAAATTTCTCAAGCAGCTAATAACATTAATTTTACGTTTCTTGTATCAGTCTCTATCAGTGGTATTAATGTCTGGGTTACACAAGCATGAAGTTATAGATCAAATAAGCCCACTTTCTATTGCTTGGCAAGGTAGAAAGTATTGGTGAATACAAAAGTAGGAAGAATTTGTCTCTGGAAAAATCATGTCTGTTTTCTTTAAAATGTGAGATCATGTGGGTACATACTTCTAAATTCCCTTTATTAGGACTAGCAAGTTAGCTGAGTGCTAAAACAACAAAAAATAGTCACTACTTTGAGTGTTTTTTACCGCTTGTTGAAACAGATTGGAAAAACAGTTCTTAGAGAAACAGTTTAAAGAAGTGAATTCTGGGATGACGTAATGCTTCGATTACATGTTTTGATTAAATTTAGTATTAAAAGACAGCCACACAAGAATTAAATATTATTCAAGAAATAAATCTGGCAAAAATGAAAGTTAGCTTCACAGATCTTTAATAGTTTCAGTTATAAACCCCATTGACAATATTGTTTTACCATTGGCTGAAGAAGTCCAGAGAACAATGCAAAGCTACTTTGTACAGCCAGTGAGTGCTTGCTCTGTGTACTGGCTTTCACTGTTCATTGGTTCATTTGAAATATGGTTTAAAAAGACCAACTAAAGCTCCAAACTCAGCAAAAAGTGTACGTTTTTTTCAATGAAGGGCCATTTCCCACCAATAAGTACCCTTAAGTCTACAGAGCAGAAATGACTACTTTATTCCTCCTTGATGTTTGCTTCATATGAAAACTTTACTGAGGTCTTTTTATTTTGTTTTTGTAAATTAAATCAACTTTAAGAAAGAACAAAATGGCCAGACACAATAGTATATACTAGCATTTGGAAGGTAGTGGCAGAGGCATTAGAAATTCAAGGCCACCCTGGCTACATGACAGGTATAACACCATGCCTTAATATTTAGATGAATAAGTATGTCACCAAGGATAAGCTTAAAGTTAGGCTTTCTGTTTGAGAATTGATCCTTGGTTCTAGGATAAGAATTACTATAGGAATGTACAAATTGGTAAAAAAAAAATGATTTAAGTGAATGTTAAAGAAAAACCAACAAATTGAGATATAGAAAACACCACCGAAACCAAATAAACATATTAACAGTCAGCGTCAAGTGTTCTGCTCACTTTAAACGTCACTTCACTTCCACCATGTTCTCACTGCAGCTTTAGCTTGTAGTACACCCACACCTTAGAAACTATTTAGTATGTTTCTCTCTCTTAGCAATAGCGTCTAAGTTTGCAGGGCCACCCCACAGTGTTCCTAAAACATCTCTTTCATTCTGTAGCGCTTCCTCTAAGTACAGCTCTCTGCCTGAACAGACAGACTTTTTTAACCCTCTAATGACTTCTGAAGGCCCACTGACAAATTGCTCTAGCCACTCTTCGGCCTCTTTGAGAGCCTTAGCTTCATCAGAAGACTGTAAGACCTCATCAGCCAAGCCTAGATTTACAGCTTTCTGGGAGTCCACTTTGAGGGTCCCACTTAACACTTTGAGAGCTTGTCTGCTACCGATGATTTCAACCAGCCTGCTGGCACCACCCCAGCTTGGAACTATACCCATCTCCTTGTGGACAAATCTGATCACACTCTCTGCAGTCATTAACCTGTGAAGACAAAAAGGGAAAACTGTAACTAATGTATATACCACAACCACAAAGCAGTAAGTGCTCCTGGGCTAAGAAAATTGGTCTTTTTAGGCACATATTAAAACACTGTTGGAAAATGTTCCCAACTAGAATTTAATTCACCATGTACTATTCAGCAAACATTTGCTTTTGAAAATAACATTTTCAAAATAACAGCTTTTCCAAACTTAAGAACTCAGCCTTCACAGTTAAGGAACTTTATGTTAACAAATTCTTAGAATAACTGAGATAGACACTCTCATTTTATGGTTGAATAAGCATGCACCAGGGCTTGGCCCCAGAGAGTTGGTGTCTTGGCACAAACCAAAGACTGAAGCAGGAGCAGGAATAGCAGTAAGGAAGATGGCAGTGGCTTGGGTTGCACTGACAGCAGTAAGCTCCTGCAGAAGGAGTTATATCCCCCACTAGTGTTTTCCTGATCAGGGTAATTCATGAAGAGAATAATAAGTGGAAGTTAATGTAGTTATTTGTGCCTGTGGGAAAAGCATCTGCTAGTGTTTACACACCTTCACCGGACTATAAAGTGCTCAGTGTTTGGAAAGTGTGTGTGCACTGTTTTTGTTGCATGCAAAAAAACAACAGAAGATTATTACGTTAGAAGCTAATCTGACCTGTCAAATTACAACTTAATTTTTTTTCTTAGACATAATAGTCTTCACAACTATTCACTATAAGAAAAGCTGAAGTGACTTCCCTTTCCAATACATTGTAAATTCAACTGTGGATGCCTTAGTTCTCTTGGTATCAAGGCTCTCAGACTGCAGCCTGACCTTCAATCATGAAACACTGCAGTGGAAGATTTTTGCAAAAGCCTACTAACCCACTGGAAAACATTCTCAGAGAGATGAGTTTCCACCAAGAATATGCCACAATGATGAACAGTTACTTCAAACAGTCAACTAATATAGAAATTCCATAATTTAAAAAATTTAAAATTTAAAGAAAATTCCATAGTTTAAAAAAAGCAAAAATAAAGCTTTTAAATGGGTATGAGGCACAGCAAGTTATTATGTCAAAAGAATCTTAACCTAACCCTTAAATTGGAATCTGCCAAAAATTTGGGAAGGAGTTACACTCAAAATATATAATAGTTATGAAAATACAAATGATTGTTACTCTTTAGCCCAGTCTTAGACTGACTTAATATGCCAGTTTTTAAACTAAATTCTGGAATTGGCATGTGTTGGTTTAACTATTAGCACAGCTGAGAAAGTGATGATGTGAGGAATAAATTCATTTAGAACTGAATAAAAATTAGACAGTAGTTATCAGTATAATATAGATGATGTTATATGAGTTATTACAGTAGCCATCCATGTGTTGTTATAACCTAGGCAACCATCCAAAATAATATATTTTGTCTTCTCTTTATTTGCAAGGTCAATTATATATGCTTGTTTAAAAAGTTTTATGACATTCATTTTTCATATACACATGTGGGCACATATTCCATGGGTTATCTATGGAGGTCAGCTGGTTCTCTCTTTTTTACCAACGAGTCGTGAGGATGGGAAGGGTGGTTGCCAGATTCGGTGGGAAGTGCCTTTACCCACCCAGCCATCTTACTATTCCAAGTATGTGCCTTCCTGAATCCTATTTTACAGCTAACAAATCCTCAAGTAATCTTTGTAAAAGTATGCATTATAATCTGACATACATTCTTTATAAATGACATAGCTAGTATATGCTTGTGTTGACATACCTTTTAGTATGTAGTAAACGTAATTTTAAAACTCCACTGGGAAAACAAAGTATCTCAACAATGAGATATACATAGCTCTCAGCAGGAAACCTTTCACAAGATCCTTCATTAGCCTCACAGAATTAAACTATAAAATTTCAAAGGTTGGAAAATATAATTCAAGAGGAAATGATCCAGTCAATAAGATAATATCTCAAAATGGGAACTGCTTCATCATCTCCCAGGATTATACAGTAATACTAGAGTTCATGAGTGACATGGTATCACCTGGGATCCTTATTACTAGGGAGAATCTGTGAACCCAGACTTAGCCCTTGTAATTATAAAATCATAATATTAAATTTATAAAACTATTATAAATTCCCTTATAAGAGTTCAAGTGCATATGACATAACGGAGAGGAAAGGATGTTTCTTACTATTTGGATGGAACAATCATAGGGAAAAAACATCTACCGCTGGGTGAAGACTATTTGTGTGTATGTGCACACACACCACAGCACACACGCACAGGTCTCCAAACAGTTTGGGAGAGGTGCTTCTCCCCTTCTGCCATGTGGGACCCAGGAATTGAATTCAGGCACGTTTGCCTGCTGAGCAGGGGATGCCAGATCACTTGTTAACTGCAGGAAAGGCTTTGCTGTGCTCCTACTGCTTTCCAACGAGGGAAACCTAAGTTTCTGGGTTAGCAAACATATTCAAGAACCTTTTTTTTTTTTTTTTTTTTTTTTTTGGTTTTTCGAGACAGGGTTTCTCTGTGGTTTTTGGAGCCTGTCCTGGAACTAGCTCTGTAAACCAGGCTGGTCTCGAACTCACAGAGATCCGCCTGCCTCTGCCTCCCGAGTGCTGGGATTAAAGGCGTGCGCCACCACCGCCTGGCTCAAGAACCTTTTTAAACAAACTTAAACTCCACTAAACAGGGAAGCTGGAGTTTAGAAATGTTCATTGATGAAGAAAGGTACTTATAGAAAGGTACCTGAAATATGTGTTGAATTGGAAGACTGCAGAGCCTTCCTGTGCAGTACAAGGAACCACAGCCACTGGGTGGCTGGAAATCCTAACATGGACTCTCTGGCTGAACATCGCACCTCATACAGTGCAGTTAAGGAATGGGACATACAGACAGAGAAAGAGGAATATTTAGACCCTAAAAAGTTATTTAGTCTATTTTGGCCCGAGTCTGTTTGTCTATAAATAGTACCCATTCAATAGTACTTATACCATAGAACCAAATGTATTCTTATATGATAAATACTTAGAACATATACTTTATAAATAATAACAGAGGAACTGTATGCTTTATTTAAAAACTATACTGTATTACATTATATTTTATTCAGACATAAAGTTGTATGTTTTATAGTCTAACACATAAGCAGCTTTGTGTATTAGCTTTTACTATGGTTTGATATGGAAGAGTCTTCTGTTTTGTGTTGATTTCATTGGTTAAATAAAGAAACTGCCTTGGCCCTTTAATAGGACAGAAAATTAGGTAGGCAGAGTAGACAAAACAGAATGCTGGGAGAAAGAAGCCAAGTCAGGCAGTCGCCATAGCTCTCCTCTCCAAGATGGACACAGGTTAAGATCCTTGCTGGTAAGACACCACCTCGTGGTGGTACACTCATTAGAAATGGGTTAATCAAGATGTGAGAATTAGCCAATAAGAGGCTGGGACTAATGGGCCAGGCAGTGTTTAAAAGAATACAATTTGTGAGTTGTTATTTGGGTATAAAACTAGCCGTGTGGGAGCTGGGCGGGAACGCAGCCCACAGCTCCTTCTACAATGGTTTAGTAGTCCCTAAGCAGGTCAGCACAGTCACAGTGTGTCTTCTAGAATTCTAAATTGTTTCCTCATCTAATATTACATCATCCTTAGTGCATTCAAAATTAAAGCAACTGTATTTACACAGTGAAACCTAGTAAGTCAGTACTTCTCAACATGTGGGTGACCTTTTTGGAGATCAAGTGACCCTTTGACAGAAATTTCCTAAGACCATCAGAAAACACAGATATTTACATTATGATTCATAACAATAGCTAAGTTACGGAATAATTTTATGGTTGTGGGTCCCCACAACATAAGGAACTATATTAGAGGGTCACAGCATTAGGAAGGTTGAGAACCACTGCAGTAAATGGTAGTGTGCAGTCTGCCCTTCAGTAGTAATTACATGAATGGCGACAATAAGAAACATTTATGTTTTTGTCTTTCTAAATAATGAAAAACAATTCTTTGTCTTACAAGACATAGAGGATTCAAACTGTGAAAGAAAGAAAAACAGATATGTCTTTAAAGTTTCTTAAGGGAAATTAGGCAATAAAAGTAACAACATAATATTTAAAGATTTTAAAGCAGTGATATTGTAAAGGTTAAAGTGAAACAGGGCAGAATGTATGAGTAGTGTATTTTCTTTAAGGAAAATCCGTTAAGAACTAATATTAACATGCTAATATTCATTTAACTTTTGATACAACCTTCTAGAGTTTATTCTCATGAGATAGGATTAAAATACTAAAAAGAATACTAAGTTACTCTTTATAGTCTGCATTTTCAAAACATAAAATGTGGAGGCTGGGAGACAGCTTAGTATATAAAGTAATTGAGTTTGGATACTGAAGCCCACAAAAAGCTGGGCACAGCAGCATTTATCTATAACCCCAAAGCTGGAGGACAAGGACAAGTTGATTCCAGGGGATTGCTGGCCAGCCATAGTAGTAAAAGAGGCCTTATCTCTAAAGTTCAGATGGAGAGGAGCAGAGGAAGATTCAACACTGAGCTATCTTCCACATGTGTGCACTTGGACTGTAGGAACTGAGAAATGCAGGCCCATTTCTCAACATTGTCTGGTGGTGAGAGAATTTGAGAGACTAACAGGCATAATTTGCACCTTCCAACACAGGAGGTGGTCATCTGGCCTTTTTGAAGTTAAGTAAACTCAGGGCCATCCTGAGGTGGTCAGGATATGCTAATGTGATTCTGCTTCTTCCATTGTAACTATTGCAACTATGGGGAGGAGGAGGTGTTTTTTGCCTGTGTGACAAAGTGTTGACCAAGTAATTTGACTTGAGTCATCTTGATACCTAGGCAACAGAATGTTAATGAAGGCTTTTGTTACCTGCTCCCCCAGTTTACTTTCATATAAAAGCTGAGGAAAAATAAATAGGGGGTATGTGGAGGGGTGTTCGGGGTCTGAATAATCCCTGAAACTCCCTCCTGATACTGTCATGTGATTTGTGTCTTTATTTTCCCACACCAT